TCCTGTTATACCATATGCCTTCAATTTACCTAACAATATATCTCTATCAATCGTTTCAAATGCCCTCTTCAAATCCAAAAATACTGCTATGACAATTTCTTCTGAGTCTATGGCTCTTCTCCAATTCTCAGTTACCAACTGGAAAGCTGTTTCTGTGGAATATTTTTTTCGAAAACCTGCTTGCGCCTCCACTAAAATTTTGTTTTCTTCTATATGACTCTCCTGGTAAATTTTGGGAATACGATCAGACAAATCAGATAGGGCACGTCTTTTCATCTATAGCCACACTATACAGGGTTATCTAAAAATAAGATATTGCGTTACGCTTTAGATTTTTAAACGGATACACCTATTTTTTTCATTTTTAGATTCTCCATGAACTTTTGTATAGTAAAGTTCATACCTACATATCTTAAATCGTTGTGAAGCTATTTGAGTTTATAATAAAATTCTGTAAACTGTGATAATAAGGGATTATATCGCAAAAATGATAATCAGTATAGTACCTATAGTAGCAAGACTTTAAATTTGAGAACAAGTCTCCGAGTACTAGAAAAACGATTTTTCTTTTGAAGTGGAGCTAATAGTGACTTTTCTTTGGCCTGTAAACAAGTTATGCAACTTTAGGGTTTTTACTTCACTTTTTTTTTATAAGGAAACTTACCTTGCAAGTGCTAAATCCCAGTATGTGCCTCTCTTTGAGTTATGGACCTCGAAATTCTCCTTCCAACAGCGTCACTCCACAGAGCACTTAATTGTACATAATTGGCAATCGGTCGGCAAGTGGGAAGGGGCTCGTAGCAACGATAAGAGCCGGATAACACATAACTTTGACAAGAAACGTCAAGTTGGTATCAAGACCTCTTATTTTACTTTGAAGCTAATTGTATCTCGACTCTCCATAAAAGATCTAATTTGCTTTATTTTTATTTTTACGAAAACAGTGCACTCTAGGAATAAACCCAAGAGTAATTATCTGTAACAAATTGAAAGTAAAGTTCGAAAAATTGCGCGTTTCGGAAATAACAGTGGCGTACTATTTTTATTCGGAAAAATAATGTCACTAATCCCTTGTATCTCCGCCACTGGCGCTCGTTAATTTAAAATAAAGACTTTTGAGTGTGAACAATACTTAGGTAAACCCACATATCAAATTTTAGTTCATTCTAGTTGAGGGTTTTGAAGAAATAAAAAAAAATGTTTTTTATTTTTAAACAAAGCCCTTGGGGAAAAAATGTTACATGAAAGACCCCCTTTCAAATGTAGTCCTGTATATTATGTTTCATTTTTAGTCACGAATTGTGAATCACCTCATATAGACGATTATTTGAAGAACAAGTTCAGTCAGAAATCATATCCTTCCATCGCATCATCAGAAGTAAGAAAGTTTCCAAGGTCAGCCAATAGTAAAGATACCAGAACGTACGAAAGTTGACCCAGAACTATATGGTGCAAGTCCATAATTTATTTTTTTCAATCAGCGGCGCTGTTCCTCACTGATGCTCATCCTACTCTACGGCCTCAAGTTAAAGTTAAGTTAATTTCATAGCCGTCGAATAATCAATATAGTCAAAATCACGAAAGATGACTATTACGCCATACCATAAATTGTACTGAAGTAATCAATGGACGTACGTCGATGATAAAATCACGAGTCCGGAACATAATGACAACAAATTTATATTATGATTTTGCGAAGTTAGGTTATTTCACTGATTATTTTTATATTCATTTTATTTCATGGTTTTGAGTGATACCTCAATAATAACTTTAGTGGGGAGTTTTTGTTTTGAAAAAAACAGTTATGAGTAGGATATTCTAAGACAAGAACACCAAAGACCAAGGTATTGCTCGAAAACAACATAACCTGCTTTAACATAACCAAACTATTCATCTTTCAAATTAATATGATCGATCATACAACATGAAAACATCGTCTATCTTTTTCGAATTCATGCATATTAGCAATACAGTTTGTTTAGACAATAAAATTCTGTTTGTCTCTGTCTAACGTATCTGAAACTCAATTTAATATATGCACAAATCGCTGTCGTTTGTCTTTACTACAGATTAAAATGATGTAATCGTCATCTTTCGTGATTTCCACTACAATGAAGCCATTTTTTTTTTCTGATATGTAGTCTACGCCAACATTTTCATGAAATCCTACGAGTACGCCGATCAACCACATGATTCCTTGTTAGTTAGTTTGGAACTTACAGTTTTAAACAACTTCATCGCAAACTCATAGTTCTATGTCGCGCACATCCAACTTAATTTGTATCTAAAATAGCAAAGGTCGCGTCAGTTAGGTAGAGAGGATAAATTTCACAAAGCGAAAGAACGCCCACTTTGTAGACGCCGTAGTCCAAACAGAAGTTTTATCCTTTAGAAGACGTCAAACGGCCAATTAGGCGGTTCTCTACCAAACGGAGGCGCATCGCTTCACGAACGGAAAAGAATTTGCATAATTTTCTGGGCCGTTACACTTTTTAGCGTACTAGAAATAGAGAAGGGGTAGCAGCTATATGAAGCGCTTGCGGTAAAGAGATACCTAAGCTACATTGATTTAATTTCGATAAATCTAAAGTTTTAAGTTATATGTTAATCCCGATATCATGTTCCTTGCTTAATTTCGATCGAAATGCTACAACTGGCTTACATTTACAGATTCAGCCTGCACAAATGCTAATGGTTCACACAAAATAAAGCCACTGGTAATTGGGAAAGCAAAAAATTCGCGCTCATTTAAAAATGTTAATATCCCTGTTGATTATGACTGTTCAAAAACCGCTTGGATGACTAGAAGCATATTCCTGAAATGGTTCCACAGGTGCTTTGTCCCTCAGGTATGACAATCAATTATTACAAATGCTCTATTCATAATTTGAAGATGTGTTTTCAATTTGTAGGTAAAAGGTTTCCTAAAATAACAGAAGCTTCCAATAAAAGCGTTGTTACTATTGGATAATGCTCCAAGTCATCCTCCCGAGCAACAACTGACGAGCAGGGATGGGTCAATTTTCGTCATGTACATGCCGCCCAACGTAACGCCGTTAATTCAACCGATGGACCAGAATATAATAAGACTCACCAAACTATACTATAGGAAGTTTCTACTTTCGTCTGTCTTATCAAAGAATCCTGAAAACTTATCTGAGGCTTTAAAAAAAGTAACATTACGAGAAGCTGTTTTAGATTTACATATGGCCTGGAATGAACTTAACCAGCAAACTATTCAAAAATGTTGGAACAATCTCTTTTGTACCAATAATGAAGATGATGAAGAAGACGATGTCCCCTTAAGCGTAGTTAGAGAACGTTTGCGATCCAATAATGATAATGTTATTAGTGCGTCATTGGATGTTGTTGATTTATTGAAAACAGTGAATCCCAACATTGTACTCCTGCTGAGATTAATTTATGGAACGAAGATAGGCAGACGAATGATGCTGATAAGGAGGAGGATATGGACAGTGAGGATGATGAGAACGATCCCATTGAAGTCAGAAGTGTAGTGACTGACGCGCAAGCTATACAAGTTTTTGAACCAAGCTTTAGATTGGGCTGAAAGAAAAGAAGTTTCATACACTGATATTACGGGCGCAGGCATTGAAAGACAATGCTAAGCGCAAATTTACGCAGACAAAAATTGTTAATTATTTTTCTTCTAATTAAAAAAGTACTTATCGCTGTTAGAATATTTAGTTATTTTGTTATAAATAGTATGTATTAAACGTTTCTTTTAATAAATCAAATGTTATGTAAATCACGTTCGCTAATGTAAACATTTCGATAATGTGAACCACACTTAATAATAATAATAATAATAAACGTCTTTATTAAATAATATATACAATACATGTGTATATATAAAGTGTAACTATAGTGGCGAATTTTAGCAATATGCTACTCTAACACTTAACCATTAAAGTTAAATTTTACGTTGTTAACAGCTAACAGAAAAAAAAATGCAAAATATATATAATAAATCACTTGGATTAAATTAGTTTACATTATCGAGCGTCTGCTGTAATTCCATTTTTAAAACTACTGTGACCATTTCCAATTACAAACCGGCTTTAGATGCTGGCAAGTTACCGAAAAATGCCTGTATAAAGTATTTTTTACAGAAACCGCCGAAAGGTAGCCCCGGTTAGTTAGATATTGCACAAACGCACGTATACAGGTTGACAAACAATGAATCGTTGAAATATTGCAATCCTTCTGCATTACTTTTAAACGTATTAATAATAACAAAATCAATCGGCTCCTTCTTGACCTTGGTGATTATAAGGATATGTCTAACTGGTACGTGGGCCACAGAAGGCGGCTCCGACGCAGTGAGTTTCAAGCCATTTACAACTGCTTCAAAACTGACACGAACAGTTTTTTTGATCTCCATTGAAGAGTTTCTTATTGCTTTTATGTGTTTCCAAATTTCAGACACCGATGTGCTCTTATCGAGGGTATTAATAAACATTTTCCAACTATTGCGTTTCTTTTTGTTGATTAGTAATTTAGATTTTGCTTCTATGTTCTTGTATTTTAAATAGTTGTCAAAATTTTTATATTAATTTATATTCAGTAAGGGCTTGTTTGCGCGAGTCAACGCCTCGAGGGCATTCATCGTCCCATCAAACGGGTTTCATAGTTTTTGGTTGGAATGGTTTTTTCATGGGCATAGCTGCATCTGCTCCCGTATTGACAGCATGAAAAAGTGCCATAAATTTGTCAGTATTGCTTTTGCATCTCTCTGTTGTTAAATTTTTTTGTGTAATTTCCTGGAAAATCTTCAGGTTCGCCTTCCCATCAATCCATCTAGTAGACGGACTGATTAGAAATACACCTTCTCTAATTGTTTTTATTAATCACAACTGTCAGAATACGTACGAATACGCATATAACGCTTAACAATACTTCAACCAGGAGCAAACAATAGAATAGAAGACCGAGTGAGATCGTTAAAAGTTTCCTATGCGGCTATAATCGCCAGAATCATGCCTTAGATAAACACATAACTATTGTTCCAGGCCAGCCCGCTGCATGATGAGCAACGCTCCGGACGTCTACCAACCATGTAACTGAACCAATAGCGTTCGAGGAAGCGCCCTCGGCTTCCCCCCTCCACCAAAGAGGATGTGCTGACCTTGAGGCTCGCTCCTGCTGCCCCTACCGCTCCCCCCACCCGTATGCCGGCCACGGCGATGTTCTCCAAATTCAAGAGCAGCAGCGCCAGCAGTGCCCAAGTGCCCATTGAGACGAATCCCATTGGACAATTCTTCGAAATCGGTACGTAAATGCTTTAGTCGTATATTATCCAAATGCGGTACTTTCCTAGAATACTGGGCATTCGCTTATGTCTAGCCCGTTGATTCCCAAAGTGGTCTATATCGACCCCTAGGGGTCTATGACAACCTGCAAGAGGTCTACGTCAGCGAAAAAAAATTTGGGGGTCCATGAAATGAATATGGGGGTCCCCGATAGTGGATCTCGACACATACACTGATAGTACCTATTTACTTACATCATACTATCTTATAATATCAAAACATATACATTATTTATAAAAGTACCTATGAAGTAAAAAATTTATTATATATGTTTATAAAACTGTGTAAGTTGTAGGATGTTGGTATTTGCTTTGTGGTCGCAATACATTTTGAACTTGAGAGTCGCAGTCTCAGAGCTTCGCTACCTTGCACTGATTTGTTCAATTCGTCACTGTATAAATACCAATGTGGGACAAATACGTTTATTCGTTTCATGAGTCTTGAAAAGGAAAGTGCTAAGAAACTATTTTAAAAAATATAAACAGATAGTATATCACACAAATTATAGTGAGTCAGTGTTATTTTGTTTGAGAGTGCTGGAGAAAAGTAAGTACATTATTTTTTATTAAATTTTAGTTTTGTACTCGTAGTTAGCAAAGATAGATAAATTACGCCAATCATGACTTTAGTTATTAGTAGTTAAATATTCAATCATGCAAAATTACACGAGTACTCCTCAATAGTTTCTTTTTGAAAGTTTTAGCAATCGGTAATATAATTACAGTGCAATCTCCGTAATTCGAGCTAATTGTTGCAAGAAGATGTTCGAATTATGGAATGTTTTCGGAAAAATCAAAAAAGATTTTTAATATACAGCTGCTGGATTTTCTGTCTTATTTAAATAATTTTATTTTGCCCACAGATGACTGATGCCATGTCCGAATCTAAAAAGAAATGTAGACAGTACAGTGTTGATGATTTGAAATTTGGCTTCATTCCATCATTGCCGGACAAACAATCGCCTATGTGCCTTTTATGCAACAAAGTTTTGGGCAATGGCGCTATGAAACCATCTAAACTGCAAGATCATCTGAGAAGATGCCACCCTGATAAAACAGAGAAAGATTTTAAATACTTTCAAACACTCAAAGATAAGTTTCAGAAGAGACCTACACTGGACAGAATGTTCGCTTCGACGTCACAAAGAAATGATGATGGTTTGCGGGCGTCTTACAATATCTCGTTACTTATAGCAAAATCCGGAAATCCGCGTACTATCGGAGAGAAGTTAATTTTGCCAGCCGTTGAAGAGGTTTTAAAAACTGTTTTACACAAACCTGCATCTGATATCATTAAAAGAATTCCCTTAAGCAACAATACTGTTGAAAGACGTATTGATGAAATGAGTTCTGATATTGAAAGCTTCTTATGTAATTATTTGCAAACGACCCATTTCTCTATACAACTGGACGAGTCAACTTTACCTGATAATGCAGCATTATTATTGGCATATGTTCGTTTTATTATGAATCAAAAAATCTATGAAGAACTGCTCTTCGCAAGAACTTTGATAACCGACACTAAAGGTGAATCAATATTTCATGTTTTGAAGGATTACTTCATTGAAAAAGCAATTCGTTTATCAAATATAATATCAGTAGCTACAGATGGAGCACCTGCCATAGTTGGACGTTATCGTGGATTTATAAGCTATTTAAAACAAAATGTGTCAGGGGTGTTAGCAATACCATTGTGTCATCCATCGACAACATTTAGTTGCTAAAAATTTGAGTGTTAGATTGCATGAATCACTTAATTTAGTCATTGATGCAGTAAACCGAAGCAACGCGTTGAATACGCGGTTATTTGCGCAGTTCTGTGAAGAAAATGACGAACACTTTCATCAATTACTCCTTCACACTGAAGTACGCTGGCTGTCGAAAGGCTTATGTTTGACAAGATTTTTTTCACTTTTTGAGACTATTTTAGAATTTCTGGATACTAAAGATAAAATTTTAAAAGAAAATTTAATGAAGAGGAAAACAGACATCGCCTATTTAACAGATTTGTTTACAAAATTTAATATGGTTAATTTGCAATTACAAGGCGACAGTTTAAATTTGATTGAAACAAAGTCCATCTTATCAGCGTTTCTTGCCGGAGTTAAACTAATGAAACAAAATATTGGACGGGGCGATTCTTCTCAGTTCCCCAATTTGTCACAGACAAGCTGCCAGGAAGACGACGTTTCAACTTACGTTCAACATTTTAATGCCCTCTATTCAGATTTTGAATCTTGGTTTGAGGATATTTTGACTATGGTAATACCACCGTGGATAATTAATCCATATGGTGACATAGAAGAAACGAATGTCATTATACAAGAGGAACTGACTGAACTAAGTACAAACGAAGAACTTAAGGTTCAGTTTAGAAACGGATATCAGCAATTCTGGCTGCAAAACAGCATACCCGTTACTTATCCCGTATTATGGAATATAGCGAGGAAATTTTTAATTTCCTTTCCGTCGTCATACCTAGTGGAAAGGGGGTTCAGCGCTGTTACTAATCTCCTAACGAAAAAAAGAAACGGACTGGACATCATTAGCCGAGGAGATTCAAGATTAACCCTTACAAAATTAACGCCAAATGTTGATAATTTATTATTAAAGCATCAGCTTCATCCTTCTCACTAAAAATATTGACTTATTGCTTATGTTATTTTATTTATAGTTTATTTTATGTTTATTGGTGTCTGACCAATAAATGCCCGCATTGGGAATAACGGCCCGCATTGATTTTTTTAAAGAACCCCCCTTTATAGAAAATACTTTTCTTATAAATTATTCTGAAAATTCAAGGATAGGGACACACTAAAATTCGTTAACTTTTTGCCTATTTTTAGATAACTTAAACGTATAAGAAGCGGAATTTAATCAAACTAACAGTGAAACTATTGTAGAACATACGTTTATGTTATATTTAATAAACGAACTCGCTTATTGTACTATTTTAAGTAAAAAACTTTGTTTTTAATTATTTTTCACTTTTTTTTTATTGTATCCCTCTTATTTTTTTTTCAATGCGGGCACTTATTCCCAATGCGGGCACTTATAGGTCAGACACCTGTTGATTTAATGTTACGTATATTTTACATAACAGATACAAAATTTTATTTTGAGTAGTTTTAATTTAAATTCAAATAATAAATGTATAAAGTAACATGTGTTTTTACTTAAAGTTTTTAACACTAAACTTCACAACAGTTAGAAATTTACAGGAAATCAATATCAGGTAAGTAGGGGGTCTACCCAACACGAAAAAACATGGAAAGGGGTCTGCGACACAGAAAAGTTTCGGTAACTCTGGTCTAGCCCATCCCACAAAGGCGGCTTCTGCCTGCGCGGCTGCTTCGGTATAAAAAAAGAGACAGGCTGTCCGATTTATCGGTGATTCTTGTCGAACAGGCAGTCACAGGACCCTTTCGTATCGACGGTGATCTGGTTCTCATCTACCGCTATGTCAACTGGCTTTGCCCTTAGAGCTAACCTCAATGATGTTGCCGCGCGTTCAGCCTGCCAGACGTATCCGCCTGGCTTTAGCCTCCCATCCTAACCCTGTCGAACAACGTACATCCAGAACTGGGAGATCGCTCTTAGCTCCTTAGGGTAGCAGCGCAGGAGCTCTGGCGTTTAGGCTTCTATGTACGCTGCTGCTTCGGTACGTGAAGAAAGTCCATTCCATATTATTTACGTCTACCCGCGTGTCAAGGCACACTCGAGTCGACTTGTGAATCGAGACAGAAGCAGTCCTCATAAAAAATGCCTGGAGGAAACGGGACCCTTATAAATAAATAGAGTGACGTTGTCCAATTACCGAGGCGTCAGGCTGTCAGCCCGTCCGAACGTGTATTTTCTTGACATGTCATTTACTCGCGCACGGTCACGTGAAATTTTGTGCGCACGAGCCTCATTAAGATCTTTCACCGTCATGACCAGACGATGAAATTTATAGAAATTTTCTATCGAACATTGTTTATAGGAGCAGTTCCAAAATTCACGCACCGTTTGAAGTATACGTGAAACACAGTTCTCCTTCTTTAGATCCATATTTCTTTTTGAATAATAAAGTACAGTGTACCCCGTTCTAAATTGACCACCTCTTAACTTTAACCATAATTGTCTATATGTTATGAGCCATCACATAACAAAAAAGTTAAGTGCAAAAGTTATCAGATAATATTGTCTGCTAAAGCATTTTTTCAAATACAATGGGCTCACGATATTAACATACTTTCTGGTAATGTGGACACGAAAGTTCAACTCGGTCGCATTCTTACGTTTTATAAACTATGGAAACAAGATTTGAAATAATGGCTGAAAAAATCGTAAATGTTTTAGGCCACAGAAAAATAACATACAAAAGCATGACCAGCCGCTTAAACCCAGATATGCCTACCGCTAAAATAAATTATAATAAAGTATGTTCTTTGCAAATTCCTTCTATATGAAGCATATATTAAACAAATTTATTATTTTTCAAATTTTATTTTAGGAACAAGTGTGAAAAAATGCCGTTCAAAATATGGTACACTAGGCACATTAAGGTTTAGTATGGAAGGACAGAAGACGTTTTACATGCATCCCTATATTGCACTTAGAGCACCTTGTTTTTGCTCTATCTATCGATCTATCTAACGATCATACCGAATCTATACTAAGTGACATATAAATCCGAAGACCCAGTTTAAATGGTTTTATTTTAATAACATTTTGTATAAGTACTTAATGAAGCATAATAAGTAAATGATAAAAATTTCAAAATGATTGCACTGCTTTAAAGCCCTTTGACCTTTAATAATGTGTGGATGCACCCTGATGTGCTACGCATTCTCCAACGCGCCTAGCATGCTTCTGATCAGGTGGTCAATGTCCTCCTGTGGTATCTCATACCAGGCAACCACCAACTCCTCTCGAAGTGCTTCTAGAGTCTGAGGAGGACGTTGAAAATTGAGCAATCTCCTACCCATCATATCCCACACGTGCTCAATTGGGGATAAGTCGGGAGATCTCGGTGGCCCTGGTAACAATGTGACATCATTATGTTGAAAGAAGTCTATTGTGACTCTTGCAACATGTGGTCGGGCATTATCTTGTTGGAAAGTTGGATCTGCCTGGGTGTCAAGATAGGGTAAAAGATGGGGTTCTAGAACTTCGTGGATATAACGCTGCGCGTTCATGTTACCTCTGATGAAGATTGAAGGTGACCTGGAACCATAAGCTATAGCACCCCAAACCATAACTCCAACAGTGTGATGAACATGTCTTTCAACAAAAAACTGTGGATTCCTCCTTTCACCACGTCGCCTTCTAACCCTGGCACGACCATCATGCATGCCTAAACAAAATCGAGACTCGTCACTAAAGACAATACTGTTCCATTCCTGATCCCAGAGTGACCGTTGTCTGCACCACTCAAGGCGATTACGTCGGTGTTCTCGAGTTAAAGGGAGGACCCAATGTGGCCGGTATGAAAACAAGCCAAAACTTCTTATTCGTCGGTAAACACTTCGCATGCCAATAGGTCTTCCGTGTTCTGCAAACCATTCATTTGCAATGGACCTGCTAGTGGAGAAACGCTCCCTTAAGGCCAATAATCTTAGGCGGCGATCTTCACGGTCTGTTGTTCTACGGCGGCGTCCAGTGCCCCTTGCTCTTTGCGTACGGCCTTCTCGAAGCCATGCCTGACAACACCTAACCACAGTGTCTACACTTCTTTGCACTCTAACTGCAATTGCCCGAAAAGAAAGTCCAGCTTCCCGAAGTCCCACTATACGGCCCCTATCAAACTCACTAAGTTGACGAAATCGTACAGGTCTCCGTACTCTAGGCATCGTAACCGATCGTGAAGGATGTCAAGAACCAAAATCCGTCAACGTTGATTCTTTACTGCGGCTGAAATATTCATTTTCAGAACGTTAGTGACTTAAAAATAAGCAGTATAAAAACCGGAATGTCCAACTGATAAGGCTGAACATTTTTTCACTTGTTATTTACAGTAAGATAAATACATTCACCAACTTTTATTAAAATAAAACCATTTAAACTGGGTGTTCGGATTTATATGTCACTTAGTATATACAGGGTGACTTTGAAGTTGAGTCATTAATTTTCAGATAATGATTGTAGAAGGAAGATAAACCAAAATATGTGTGTAAAAATAAAAAAAAAATAAAAAAAAAGTTTTACCTTGTTTTATAAAGTATCCTCCCGACAAGTATTTCAGTGCGGACCTGCATTTGATCGTGAGGTCCCCTGTGAGGTCTTAAGTCACCTGATTCACGAGCCCGTTGTACTACATTAACAAAGGCACGAGGGGTTGGTTGCACTCGATTGGGAAACCGATCCGCATAAACATGTGCCATTTTTTATTTCGTTTGAGCCACGCAACAGATATCACTATTCACTGATACTGACTGTATACAAATGAATGAAACAATCTAAAAACATCGTTCCAAATTCTTTCGCTTTTTTGTTTCCGATGCGATGAACCGATACGGCGGATTATATCCGTTGTCGCCAAACACGAGCATATTGAGACAGGGCGGTACTCAAACTTCCAAAGGGCTATAACTTTGTTACTTTAATTTTACCAGAAGAATGGTAAAGGAAAAAAACATTTATTTTGATCAGATCTACTCACTGTTAAAATAAATGACTCAACTTCGAAGTCACCCTGTATATTCATTAACCGAAGGACGTCCTCTAGATAAAGATGGCCGTTTCTTGTTTTGTTGTAACAAAGCTGTGGCAAGCCGCCGTCTAAATAATAATTGATCCAGATGTCCTCCGTGCGATCTATAAAGTCGCCAGGAATTATGAACAGCCATATCAATACAGTGGCTGATCAATGAAAAATACCACTCTTTACCCTGGATGGAAATGCGATACAGACCAATATTTTGATCACAACCATCAACGCCGCCCATATTTGCATTTACAATATGAGGCTGTTCTACCTAAAATCAAAAGCATTTTTGAAAACATTGATTTTCTTACTGTTTGTGTTTCTTACCTGAATACTTCTTTTATCCTTTTGAGAGTATCGCTTTACAAAGCGAATTGGTTGCAATCCTGCGGCATTTGAACGGAGCGTTACTAAATTATTGTCATGCCATTTTACTGCGATTATGTTTGTATCGGAAATTTTGTTGTAATCGTAACTACCTCTTCTTTCCCTTTTCATAATTTTAGATTCTGTGAACTGGACGCCTTGTAAACGATTTTCTCTAGCAGGACCAGTCGCAAAGAAATTTTTTTCTTACCATAAGAGACAGAGAAGTGAAAAAATCGTCGAATACTAAATGAAATTTTTCATTTGGCCGTTTTCTCCTCAGTGCATCAGAATACTCTAATACCACACCAGCACCAACCCCCAAGTCTGCATAATTCTTACTAATGTTGGTTGACGACCCTTGGTAAGGCTCAACCGAGTAAACGTAGCCTAGTCTTGATGCGCCAACCCATAATTTATAGCCGTATCGTATAGGTTTTCCGTGAATGAACTGTTTGCATGAGTGTCTCCCAAAATAAGGAACCATTGCGTCATCTACACTATGCATTTCTGTCAAAATTCCATGTTCAATAAATCTTTTATTCAGGCTTGCAAATAAAGGTCTAACTTTTGCAAACTTATCTCCTTGCTGTAAATTGTAGTTATCTACTAAATGGAAATTTGACATAATATACTCAAATTTACCTCGTGTAAGCGCGTCTGTGACGAGTTGATTATTAGCATCTCTTTCACGTTCCCAGAACGTTCTTCTACGTGGTACATCGACATAACCACTCAATATTAGTGTTCCAATAAATGCCCTTATTTCATACTCTCGCGCCTCTTGTTGGCGATTCTTTTTTGCCTGGGATATCTATTTGTTTCAGTTGTTATGCGTGTTATAAGTTCGCCGTGAAAAAAAAGTGAAAACCATTCGAGTGGAGTCTTAGAAGAATTATTTTGTTCAAGAATTTCTTCGAAGTTTCCTGGAACTTCTTATGGTAGATCCTCCTTCATTTGTACGGTTTTCGTTTCTTTACCTTTTTATTTTTTATTTCTTTAGCCAATTCAGACAATGGAATATTATCTTCGGAATCAGATGAAGAAATGCTAAATTTTTCATGAGGTATGTTGATCTCAGCAGGTGCTTGTATGTTACAAGCATTGATTGGAGGCATCAATGTGATATTATCCACATTTGCTACTACATCTTCATTATCCTCCAGAGAAAAGCCCCTAAAAATGAAACAGGCATGCATTTTTCTGGCGTACAGTATTTTGCACACTCAATAATAACGACGCAATTGTAAATCCGAAATAATAACATAAGTAATTGGACATTATAACTGGAAAAAAGCGTGTGTTTTATTGGTAGGAGCAATCGAAACATCTTTTTTATTTACGTATAGACCATATATTTACTTACTTGGAAAATCGTATTCCATATTCAGCCATGTCACAAAAAATAAAAACTTCTTCACAAAATCGCAAAAAGTCTCAACACAACGATAACACAAACACAAAATTGTACTATAGGCATATCTGGGTTAAAGAGGAAATAGGTCATCCGATCTTGACATAACCTCTAGGTGTGATTAAAGTTATGGTAATTGAACCTTCGGGAGATTTTTCCTACTTTCTGTACTGAGATCAAATATGTGGGTTTCCATGTGAAAAAATCAACGTGACGTTGAATAGACCTCCAAGGTCATAGCTTAGATCAGATTGAAGGTCATCATCAGATGTCTCAGTTTTTCTTTAATATCCTTATTTTTCCAGCTAGTCGCTGCTTCACAAAATTCCATGAAACAGCAACAGTTAAGCTTGAAAAGGATTTTTTTTCTATTTCTGCAATCAAAAATGGGGTTTCCTATTTGAAAAAGAACTTGCCCTTGAAACTATCTCCAAGGTGAATGTCAACGTGCGATCCAAGGTCACCACCAAATGCGCCATTTCTTGAAACTCTTCTACTTAAGGTTTTTTCTAGCGCACTTAGTTTTCGAGATATTTGGGGGCATCCTGTATAATCGCTAAGCACTTTACCTTTCGGTCATTATTATTGCCTGTCAGACCCGGGATCTTGGACTACGCTGTCTTATCGAGATTTAAGCAGAATCACTTCCTCAGAGTGCACAGAAGAAGGAAATTCAGCTCCGCGTTCATCTCAAATATTTTATCCATATTTGTGTCTATCACCTCACTAAAATGATGTTTTTGTTTGGTTCAGGCAAGCAAGTAGCAAGTGCCGGTCCAGAGCTTGTGTGGAGGATACACGATGCTTACAGGAAAAGCGATGGAAGGGTAAGTTACATTTATACTTCAGTTAGTAAATCATTTGAAGAAAGTCTCATCAAAATAGTATATTCATATAAACAAAAAATTAGTTATACTAACGGCCGTCTGTTACGATACAAAATTTTGTTCTTAATTTGGTGGCGAATTTTGCGAAAAAATGCGTTTCTGGATTTAGTTCCTTATTTGTCTACAAATTATACTAAGTGACATATAAATCCGAACACCCAGTTTAAATGGTTTTATTTTAATAAACGTTGGTGAATGTATTTATCTTACTGTAAATAACAAGCGAAAAAATTTTCAGCCTTATCAGTTGGACATTCCGGTTTTTATACTGCTTTTTTTTAATTCACTAACGCTCTAAAAATGAATATTTCAGCCGCAGTAAAGGATCAACGTTGGCGGATTTTGGTTCTTGACATCCTTTACGATCGGTCACGATGCCTAGAGTACGGAGACCTGTACGATTTCGTCAACTTAGTGCGTTTGATAGGGCCGTAGAGGGAAGCTGGACTTTCTTTTCGGGCGATTGCAGTTAGAGAGCAAAGAAGTGTAGACACTGTGGTTAGGTGTTGTCAGGCATGGCTTCGAGAAGGCCGTACGCAAAGAGCAAGGGGCACTGGACGCCGCCGTAGAACAACAGACCGTGAAGATCGCCGCCTAAGATTATTGGCCTTAAGTGACCGTTTCTCCACTACCAGGTCCATTGCAAATGAATGGATTGCAGAACACGGAAGACCTATTGGCATGCGAAGTGTTTACCGACGAATGAGAAGTTTTGGCTTGTTTTCATACCGGCCACACTGGGTCCTCCCTTTAAATCGAAAACACCGACGTAATCGCCTTGAGTGGTGCAGACAACGGTCACTCTGGGATCAGGAATGGAACAGTATTGTCTTTAGTGACGAGTCTCGATTGTGTTTAGGCATGCACGATGGTCGTGCCAGGGTTAGAAGGCGACGTGGTGAAAGGAGGAATCTACAGTTTTTTGTTGAAAGACATGTTCATCACACTGTTGGGGTGCTATAGCTTATGGTTCCAGGTCACCTTTAATCTTGATCAGAGGTAACATGAACGCGCAGAGTTATATCGACGAAGTTCTAGAACCCCATCTTTTACCCTATCCCTGGCAGATCCAACTTTCCAACAAGATAATGCCCGACCACATGTTGCAAGAGTCACAATAGACTTCTTTCAACATAATGATGTCATATTGTTACCATGGCCACCAAGATCTCTCGACTTATCCCCAATTGAGCACGTGTGGGATATGATGGGTAGGAGATTGCTCAATTTGCAACGTCCTCCTCAGACTCCAGAAGCACTTCGAGAGGAGTTGGTGGTTGCCTGGAATGAGATACCACAGGAGGACATTGACCACCTGATCAGAAGCATGCCTAGGCGCGTTGGAGAATGCGCAGCACATCAGGGTGCATCCACACATTATTAAAGGTCAAAGGGCTTTAAAGCAGTGCAATAATTTTGAAATTTTTATCATTCACTTATTATGCTTCATTAAGTACTTATACAAAAGTTTATTAAAATAAAACCATTTAAACTGGGTGTTCGGATTTATATGTCACTTAGTATATTTTTTAGAACAGGTTCTGAAGACTTTAGCACCCTATTTGTTCATACAAAATTATGTAACAAGTTCTGTCTGGCACTTTGATTTTGTACGAAATTGATCATTAAAGACTGATATAAAATTATTTTTTTGAGATATTCGAAGACGACGCCTAAAAGTGAACAACTAACACCTGAACTATTCGCGCTAGAACAGAAAATGTTCAAAAATGTCACCCTGGCGTTGAACAATCACAGTCTTCTTTTTTCACACTTTCTGTACTGTGTTCACTGATAATTAGGAACGCTTCTTGTTTACTATGCTGCACATCCACAGAGACATGTTTTAACATTTCCTACAGTAGTACGAATTGTTAAACTTTTATGTTATATTTACTTATAGGCGTCATTTTAAGACATCTCAACTGATGAATATTAAATCATAATATCAATCTGGAATAATGAATTACAACCCAAGCATTGGATCACTTGGTTTTGTTAATAAAAGCCTCAGTTTATAGACATATTGTCAATAATCCTCTACTTGCTTCTTGTTTTCATGCTCTTGTTTGAAATATCCAACTTTTTGAAACAAACAGCTGTACGGCAGAAGCAGTTCGAACAGCCTGGTAACAACATGGTAATAAAAAAAACTGATGAAAATAGGAACCTGATAGTACAAAAGTATATATCGTGTTTAATTTATTTTATTGCGTATTTGACCACCCTGTATTGATCATTCAAAGGATTCGATAAGTCGGATGAATTTGGTTAAAATTATCGACTCCTGCCAACATAGCAAATATGCAGGCTGTCAAGCTTTGATGTTTCACTTCCTAAGCCAAACTGCCAAGGAATTGCAAACGCGAAAAATTACATGATCAAACGAACTTACCTGTAAGTGATGTTCGACGTTAATTATGTGAAGTCCTCGTCGAAGTAAATATTTAGAATACATATCGTAGTACCCTCGTAGTAGTACCCAACCGCCACGATCTCGAAGCGTACACGTAGAGAAGGAAAGCGGCACCGCGCCCCTTCCTTCTCCCGTCTGGCCGCCTATAAACCTTCATTTACTCCAAAGCCAACTTGTTGCAATACAGAGAGAAAAGGAGCTATTTACTTTGACAAGGACTTCACGTAATTAACATAGAACATCACTTACAGGTAAGTTCGTTTGATCATGCAATTATGTTCCGGGCTCGTCAAAGTAAATATTTAGGATACATATCGTAGTACCCTCGTAGTAGTACCCAACCGCCACGATCTCGAAGCGCACACGTAGAGAAGGAAAGCGGCACTGCGCCCCTTCCCCTACCCTTCTCCCGTCTGGCCGCCTATAAACCTTCATTTCCTTCAAAGCCAACTTGTTGCCACACAGGGAGAGAAGGAGGTATTTACTTTGACAAGGACTTCACGTAATTAACATAGAACGTCACTTACAGGTAAGTTCGTTTGATCATGTAATTATGTTCCGGGCTCGTCGAAGTAAATATTTAGGATACATATCGTAGATGTTCAAAGCTAGTTGCAGCAACATACTACTAACGCTCTGCAATAGTAAACAATGTATGTATCAACTAAATGTACATTTCCATCGTAACAATTCAAGCTTTTAGCAACAGGTAATATGACGTACCTGGTTCAAGAATTACCATCAATTTCATGGTAATGAGCAAATAACGTAATAACGTAGTTACGTTTAAGGTGTTGAGACTACTATAATTTAGCAGGCGGAGAGGTAGACGCATTTCATGTACTGCCAGTTGTCAATTGTGACACTCTCTGCTAAGACCGACTTCATCCATCATTTCTGGTACCTCTGGGTTCACCCTAGGTAGCTAGAATAGAACAGAATTTATTCATCTATCGTCATCAACAAGAGCTGCCCTCGAAATGTCAGCCTTGGAACAACGCGCGAACATTAATTATACTAAGGTCGCCGCATCATCTATTGAGACAGACTACATGGCCTTTAAGACAAGACACCCCAGAGCGCCCTGCTGTTCGAGTGCCACATGTGCAAAAAGTAACGTTAATCGGGCATAATATTTAACTTCCGTCGTCACTGGACATTAAAACTTTGGTGGTTTCCTAACCGGTGATGTTTGTACGTACAGTTCTGTTCCATAGTTATCACCAGCCATGTGGAGTTTGCTATCACAAGCACACTGTAACACTAGTATACCACAGACGTACCTAATTTCCATATGTTGTTAATGAAAAATAGTACTTCAGCTGTTTCGTAACCTGTCATGTGCATATTATTGACATTGCACATTATACCTTAACAACTTTCTAGCCTGCCATGTTCAAACTTACAGTCATGTTCCATGGTTATCACAAACCAGATGAAATTTGAGAAATGAGAAAAGAGAGAGAGAGAGAAAGAGCATTTGTAACATGAGCAGACCAATGTCTGAATAAGCCTTAGCTGCCTTTAGCAGGTACTTAACATTTGTCGTAAATATATCACAGTAACATCCAATTCTGTTTAAGTTAGAGAACATTACATATAACGGTGACTTGAGAAGAATGTTTGTCCTAGCTCTAGGAAGCCCGAATATTTTATGATTGCGAGACGCAAACGTTGGAGTACGAAACTTGATCTGTTCCAGGATAATAATAATAATAATAATAATAATAATAATAGTAATAAATGTCTTTATTGAAACCTTCGAATTGAGGCGAAGTTTAGCCACATGGCTACTCTACCACTTAACCTCAAAAACGAAGTGAAAAAATAATAAGAAGGACAATAGTACAGTACAGAAAAATAAAAAGAAAACAACGAACAATTACAGAATGTATAGAGCATGGAAAATTTACAAAAGCTACAAAATCAGTCGGCTAATCATCAGGGATTTTTAAAAAGGCAATTCCAAAAGACCAGATTTAGTATTTAATTTTAAAAACAGGTAAGCTTTTGGACTTGAGTACCTGGTTGACAGAGTTGTAAGTCCTGATAGCATTGTACGTAAAACATCTTCGGAATATACATGTTCTGTGGAATGGCATACCGAAGAGATGGTTATGTCGTAGGGCTCTAGAAATGACTTGACCACGAGGTACAAGTTTGTCCATAAGATAAATGGGTGACCTTGTGGAAATCAATTTATGGACAAATACACCCAAAGAGAAAGTATAGTGTTTATCAAGTTTTAGCCATTTTAGCTCTTTTATCTTAGACGATACGTGATCATACCTTCTGAGACCATATACGAACCGACAACAACTGTTTTGGATTTTCTGCAGTCTATATTTAGTGTTATAATCAATACAAGGATAATAAAGAACCAGCGAATAAAATATTTTAGACATAACTCTCAACAAGTTTTTTTCGCGTTTGAAATTAAGATTGTGCCGGTTTGAATATAATAATTTTAACGATATATATGTGGATTTAAGGGTGGCATTCACGTGCTGATTAAAACGGAGGG